TAATATAAGGGAGTTTTTTTGATAAATCCATTTTCTAAGAGGTTTATTCCATCCAACCCATATTTTTTTTGACTATTCTATTAGGTCCAATTTGAGATAAGAAGACCAAAATATCCTTTTCATCTACTTATGTTCCATTTAGTTCACATTATTTTCTTATGTTTCAATAAGTCCTATGGGTGACATAATTACCAAAATACCCTTAATGTGAATGTTCACACCGTCAATGTAAATGTTCATATCGTCAATGTGTAGGGGCTCGGCCCATGTCGATCCTCGTGGGTAGGGGTGTGCGCGGTGCGGGTCGGTGCAGTTTGAGAGAAAAATAGAAACCGTATAGCGGGTGGCGGATTGATAAAAGTGTCACTAGCATTTGCCATTTTCCTTATCAAAAACCGGCGGTTCGGTTGGCATATAATGGCGGATTTGCCTTGGCAGTTCGGGCAGATTGGCGGTTTATAAAAAATATAATTCAAATTAAAAAACTTAAATCAAAGAGTAAAAAAAAGACGAGAGATACCGTGATGTTAAGCATCTTGCGAAGCTTTCTTCTGATGCAGCAAGTGTAGCAACAACATGATAATATCAACGACTATGCCATCAGTTCATTACAAGCATCTGTGAAAACTACAATGATCAAATACAATACATAAAATTTCCTTCGAGCAATAATGTAATACTATATTCTAAGGTATAGAACAACAAGCAAACTTAAGTAAAAAAGAATTTTTAGAATCTTATAAAACATGATTTAATAGCGGTGCGGGTCGGTGTGGTTTGGAAGAAAAATAGAAACCGGCGGATTGATAAAAGTGTCACTAGAATTTGCCATTTTTCTTACCAAAAATCGACGGTTCGATTGATAAATAATAACAAATTTGCCTTGGCGGTGCGGTTCGGTGCGGTTTTGGCGGTTTCAGCGGTTTCGGCGGTATTATGCACACCCCTACTCGTGGGTGGCCGGAAAAATTCGAGTCGGGCCGGGTCGGCCCACAGGCCAAAAAAATAGGCCCGGTCCGGCCCGTTGATAATATGAATATTTATATTGACAAGTTAATATTCACATTGATAGGAGTGTAAAATTGGCTTGCGGCCCGTGGGCGGCCCGAAACCAGCCCGCCGCCCGAGGCGGGCCCGGGCCGACCCGTTCACAATGTGAATATTCACATTAGCATATTAACATTAACATTAACATTGACAAGAGTGTAAAATTGGCCTGTGACCCGTGGGTAGCCCGAAGCCCGGGCCGGGGCCCGGGTCAGGGCAGGCCCGCCCTGTTGACAATGTGAATATTCATATTGACATGTTAACATTCACATTGATAGGAGTGTAAAATTAGCCCGCGGCCTATGGCTGACCCGAAACCCGCCCGCGACTCGTGGGCTGTCATTGGCGGGCCCGGCCCGACCCGTTGATAATATGAATATTCACATTGACATGTTAACATTCACATTGATAAGAGTATAAAATTAGCCCGTGCCCCGTGGCTGCCCGGGGCGGGCCCGGTTCGGCCTGTTGACAATGTGAATATTCACATTGATAAGAGTATAAAATTAGCCCGTGCCCCGTGGCTGCCCGAAACTAGCCCACGGCCCGTGGGCGGCCCGGGGTGGGCCCGGCCCGGCCTGTTAACAATGTGAATATTCACATTACATGTTAACACATTGACATGTTAACATTCACATTGATAAGAGTATAAAATTGGCCAGCGGCTCAGGGCGGGCCCGACCCGGCCCGTTGACAATGTGAATATTCACATTGACATATTAACATTCACATTGATAGGAGTGTAAACTTAGCCCGCACCTTGTGGCTACCCGAAACCCGTCTAAGGCCCATGGGTGGCCCGGGACGGGCCCGGCCCGGCCTGTTGACAATGTGAATATTTACATTGACATGTTAACATTCACATTAATAAGAGTATAAAATTGGCCTGCGGTCCAAGGGCGGCCAAAAGTCCACCCGCCGTCCAGCGCGGGCCCGGCCCGGCCCGTTGACAATGTAAATATTCACATTGACATGTTAACATTCACATTGATAGGATTGTAAAATTAGCCTGCGCCTCGTGGCTGCCCGAAACCCGCCCACGACCCATGGGCGGCCCGGGGCGGGCCTGGGCCGACCGGTTGACAATGTGAATATTCACATTGACATGTTAACATTCACATTGATAAGAGTATAAAATTGGCCAGTGGCCCAGGGCGGGCCCGACCCGGCCCGTTGACAATGTGAATAATCATATTGACATGTTAACATTCATATTGATAAGAATGTAAAATTGGCCCGCAGCCCATGGGCGGCCCGAAGCCCGACCGCAGCCCCAGGCGAGCTTGGCTCGACCCGTGACAATGTGAATATTCACATTGATATGTTAACATTAATATTGATAGGAGTGTAAAATTTGCCCGCTGCTCGAAGCTTGCCTGCGGCCCGAGGTAGGCCCGGCTCGGCCCGTTGACAATGTGAATATTCACATTGACATCTTAAAATACACATTGATAGGAATGTAGAATTGGCCCGCGGTCCATGGGCTGCCCGAAGCCTGCCCACGGCCCGGGGCAGGCTCATTTCGGTCTGGGCCCGAGCATGTCCGAGACCCTAGGTTAGGGCCTAGGTCATCACTTTGAAGCCCGGCTTGGCCCATCGGCCCGCTTAAGGCCCATTCAAGGCTCGGTCCGAGGCCCAGCCCACCCGAGGTGTAATGTATTTTTTTGTGAAAAATAATAAAATTTTGGTAGAAAAAATTAAAAAGAATTAAAAAAAAAAGGCCAGGCTGCCCAAGCTCGACCTAAGATCGAGACTTGGCCTAGGCCCACCAGCCCGACTCCAGGCTCGATCCATCGGCCCGTCCAAAGCCCGAATACCCTTGTGCTAGGGCTAAGGCCTGGGCCTAATTTTTTTGGCCCGTGGGCCGGCCCGGGAAAGGCTTGTTTAGGCCCAAGCTCGAGCCTAGTCCGAGACTCTAAGCTAGAGCCTGGGCCATCACTTTGAAGCCCGGCTCGGCCCTGCCCATCGGCCCCGTTAAGGCCCATTCAAGGCTCAGTCCGAGGCCTCGGTGAGTGTCTTTTTTTGTGGAAAGTAATAAAATTTTGGTAGAAAAAATTAAAAAGAATTAAAAAAAAAATGACCAGGCCCACCCCGGGCCGCCCACGGGTTTCGGGTAGCCATGAGGCACGGGCTAATTTTACACTCTTATCAATATGAATGTTAACATATCAATGTGAATATTCACATTGTCAATAGGCCGGGTCAGGCCTGCCCTGGGCCGCCACGAGGCGCGGGCTAATTTTACACTCCTATCAATGTGAATGTTAACATGTCAATGTGAATATTCACATTGTCAACGGGCCGGGCCGGGCCCGCCCTAGGCCGTGGGCGAGCTTTTGACTGCCCATGGGCCGCGGGTCAATTTTATACTCTTATCAATATGAATGTTAAAATGTCAATGTGAATATTCACATTGTCAACGAGCTGGACCGGGCCCGTTCTGGGCCGCCCATGGGCCGCGAGCCGGTTTCGCGCCGCCACGGGACGCGGGCCAATTTTAAACTCCTATTAATGTGAACGTTAACATGTTAATGTGAATATTCGCATTGTCAATGGGCCGGGCCCGTCCCGGCCCAACTCGAATTTTTCCGGGCACCCACGAGGATCGACATGGGCCGGGTCCCTACACATTGACGATATGAACATTCACATTGACGATGTGAACATTCACATTAGGGGTATTTTGATAATTATGTCACCCATAGGACTTATTGAAACATAAGAAAATAATGTGAACTAAATAGAACATAAGTAGATGAAAAGGATATTTTGGTCTTCTTATCTCAAATAAGACCTAATGGAATAGTAAAAAAGAATATGGGTTGGATGAAATAAAGCTCTTAGAAAGTGGATTTATCAAAAAGGCTCACATTCACTAAAGTGAGATTCATATTTCACAGGAAGACTTTTTTGCAATAAAGACATACTAAGATGAAACTGGGAGCAAATTCACAGAATCATCTCATAAAAAAACAACATAGCATCAATATAATAAGCGATGAATGTATAATAACTTTAAATTGAAGAACGCATAAGATAGGAACACAAACAAAGAGAGACAGAGAAGATGAGCATACTGGTTATTTTGTTTGCTACAGGTGTAGATAGTACCAACATCAGCAGGAGAAGGTATATATATAATCGTATACACTTGGCCAACTGATGCAAACCACATGCAAGACAATCGGTGATTTGCAGATTGAAAAATTGGAACCACATAATTTCTGGATACCAATTTATTACTCAGCATGACTCACCTACTTGATTTTGCATCTCAGGAAAACCAGTAGGGCAAACAGGGAGGAAAAAGCAAACCAAACCGATTCAAAAGAACCTATTGTTGTATAACCCTTGCGCATACACCAGCATCACCGTTTGAGAAAGACAACAAACCACACCGTCTCACCTTCTTGGAACTCACAGGTCAAGCAGAACAGTCATCAGAACGGGTTTTGCGCCGCCACGGGACGGGGGCCAATTTTACACTCCTATTAATGTGAATGTTAACATGTCAATGTGAATATTCACATTGTCAACGGGCCGAGCCCGCCTTGGCTCGCGGGCGGGTTTCGGGCAGCCCACGGGCCAATTTTACGTTCCTACCAATGTGAATTTTAAAATATGAATATTCACATCATTAAATTACTAATCATTCAAAAGATATTTATAAGGGTATCAAAATTAAATATAAGGGTACAAGTGTCCAAGAAAATAGTGTAAATCAAGAAAATGGAATTTATGGAATAAAACTATACATACATGGGACTAAATGGGTTAAAAAATTCATTCATAAACTTCTTGAATTAAAATACTTCTAAATTAGACTTATCAATAAAAATCCCTTAATATAATTTTCAGGTAAAGTCCCTAATTAAAAAGCAAATTAAAATAATCAAATTCACAAACGGACCCATCTGAATTGAGTAATGCTATGCATAATTTTTTCTTTCCTAGTGCCAAACGGTTGCAATCAACCGAGTCGAAAACACCAAAAATAGCCGACTTGAGAGTGAGTGAGCGAGAGAGAGAGACTTTAGCATTAAAAACTGATTAAAACGATCATTATCATCAACAAATGAAGTTCAGCGATGGCTACAATGGCGTCGAGGGCCAAGATCACTAGGCTTCTCAGCAAACTGACCCACAAAACTCCGAGTTTCGCTTCTGGGTTTCGCTCTAATGGCGCTAGAGGGCAGATTCGGGTCAACCCATTTGGTGTTTCCGGGTTTCCATTATCATCTTCGGCAGCTCCTCTGGAATCGAACGTGATGGGTTCGAAAGATTACGAGGATTACAGGAGATCTCTCTATGGTGGAATCACTCACAAAGCTCTCTTGGTTGATGCTGTTGGCACTCTTGTTGTTCCCTCTCAGCCCATGGCCCAGGCATCCTCTCTCTCTCTAGAAGTGTTTCTCTCTCTAGGATTGTTAGAGTCCAAAATCTATTTATTTATTGGGTTTTGATTAGTTTTGTGTTTTGATGTATTTGGGTACAGATTTACAGGCAGATTGGTGATAAATATGGGGTTGAGTACTCTGAAGCTGAGATATTGAACAGATATAGGTGGGCTTATGAGCAGCCTTGGGGTAGATCTAGACTCAGGTGACTCTTGTTTCTTACCCATTCTAAGCATGCTTTTCTTCCATTTTCTGAAATTAATTTGATTTCCATGTTTGGGTCTGGAAATATTTGGAGGTTACATGGAGGATTGAATGTGATTTTGATGACCTGTTTGTTTGATTTATTATTTTATTAAAATATCAAAATCAAGAGAACTAAACGTGCAAAAGTGCTAATGAATCAAAACCTGTCTTTTATTGAAGTTGTGATCATTGTATTTGAGGGTTTTGTGATACATTGCATGTAATTTTTTTGACAATACTGTTTCCTTTTTATGAGGTTATGTATATTTTTTTACCCATTCCAGTGTCCTATTCTAATTACTAATTACTAATTACTGAAACACAATATTCAGTAACTTACAAACAGTTATTGACTTATAAATGCCAGTTCCCTTTCTAGCATATCCATGTTGATCCAACAAGTATTGGAATCTTTTAATCATGACTTTAGTCATAAAGTTCCAAAGAGTTTTCTTATGAAGACATATGGTCACAAATTTGAGAACTGTTGGACCCGAAATAATTTATATTTGGAGTTTAGACTCTTTTGAGAAATGGTCAATGTGAAATTCAAGGATTTTCTTCTCTCTCTCTCTCTCTCTCTCTCTCTCTCTCGGTTGCGGTTGGGGAGGTTGACTTTGTTTACCAGTTGGTGTTTTCAAACATTCTGAAGAATTTTGACTTTCTTTGTGTAAGACTGAAACTTCATAGTAGGAATGGTTCTCTTGGTTAATTAATACCCGTTGGCAACGATTGACATGATGACAGTTTTGGTTCTGCTCCGTGGTACCTTCAAGAATGACATTTTTTCTCTCTTCAAATTTATAAAGCATCAAAGGACATCTTCACCAAGTCATGAATATGTGATAGTCTAACCTGAATAAAATTTGGGTTGGATCAATGTTGTCAGCTAAGCATGGATATGGACATGGAACAGATATATGATATGATACGAATATGCCGATATGGAAATTTCACAAAAACAAGGACATGACATGACTGAGACACGTCATTTTATTATATTGAACTAGTAAGAGAAACGAAAATTTATAATATCTATTTTTTTAGAAAGCTCTATTAACAAACAGTAGGACACGTTTTGGCCCTTCTTCAACACATGTCGGGAGTGTAGGATACATTTTGGCCCTTCTTCAACATGTGTCGGGAGTGTAGGACATGTTTTGGCACTTGTTCAACATGTGTCGGGGGTGTTCGGCAATGATTGACACGCATTGGGGAGTGTGGACATGGCACATTATGAGAAGTGTGTACTTTTTAGCTTATAAATTATTGAAGGAGGTGAAATCATTTGAAAGTACGGAACCACATGAAAATTCTATTCTATTATATTGTCACAGTCTCACAATATTTGTACTCGTAAGATTTCATTGGTCTATGTGATTTAAGAAACTTCTTCCTCTCTTCTTCTTCTTCTTCTTCTTCATAGATCAATAGTCATTTACTAATTCAAAAAGGTTTTACTATTTTTATATTGTTTTGATAATTATCATTGTGACTTGCATTTTCCATGATGGACTTGCATGTAGTTGCTACATACAATTGAAGTATTTCATCTCCTTGTTTCCAAATTTCCCATGAAATTTAAATGAGTGGTTATTTGGATGGATAAGTTAATTGCTTTCCATCAGCTTAAGCTTTTAGAGTAACTGTTTTTTTTGGATAAATTTTTAGAGTAACTGATTTTTGACAGTGTTATGGCAGGTAAGATCTCTATCAATCTCAAAATCTTATTGATAAGATAAATCATTTACGTGCATGACCCAAGCATGCAAAAAAGATCACATTTGAGGGGCCACATTGATGAAATAAATGCAGAAGGCACATATTGTTCTCTATAGCTTAAACTTTTAGGATAACTAGTTGTTTACACGAATTACTTTATTATCTCTTGTCAAGCTTGCATCTTTTGCAAATTTCCAACAGATGTATAGCATACTGGTTGTAGACTTCTGAATCTGAATTTTGAAGGTCTTTATGGGCTTCAATGCGGCTTCTTTAAACTCTAGAATTTCAAAAAAAACTTGGACATTGTTCTCCTCAATTTAGAGTATATGTATAAAAGAAGTAGGTTGTGTTTGGATTGATTTTCAAACTATAATTCCACTCCCATATTCTAATGCCATGTTTGGATACAGCTTTCAAATTATATTTCTACAACAAAGAGAAAACTCTACAGAAAACTTTATGTCAGGCGGGAATTTTTTTTTTTGAAATTTGGCTTTACCGGTCGTCCAGCCGGTCAATCGGAACATGGCAAATTTTTTTTTTTTTTTTTTTTTTTTTTTTAATTGGCACTTTATATATATATATATATATTTAATAAAACAATTTTTTCGGAATTTTTTAAAATTGTTTATGAGCTTTTAATAGATTTTTGAGTTGTGTGTTTGGTTATGAGTTGTAAATTTTTGTATCAAATATCATATGTTACATCAAAAATTTCCCACTCAATTAAAAGCTTGTTTCAAAACTCATTCATCAAACAAATTTTCCACACTTAAATCATAATTCAAAAACTCACACTCAAAATACAACATTATTCTCAAATCATATTTAGAAAATTCTATCAAACGCTACCGTAATTTTTTTTACCCTTTTTGTTTTAACGGTGAAAATTCTGCTCACTTATGTTTTGCAGTAGATTCTTTTTCAAATTCACTTTCTAAAGATGGGCTTATTAAATTGCAGATATGTTAATGATGGGCGACCGTTCTGGCAATATATTGTCAGTTCTTCAACTGGTTGTTCAGATTCTCAATACTTTGAGGAGTTGTACAACTATTATATCACTGAAAAGGTTAGCTTGGTTTGCGGCATTGATTGGTTAGCATTTTTGAACTGATCTTCTTTCTATTGAATGCAAATTTTCATGTTTTTCTTGGAATGAATTGTGAGACAAATACTTCCAAAATGCTAACCGAACATTATCTGCTATGTTAATTGAATCTTAAATTGCAACTGTTGATCACCTGAGTTCCAAGTTTATTTTCATTTGTTTCTATCCAAAGGCATGGCATCTCTGTGATCCGGATGCTGAAAAAGTATTCAAGGCTATTAGAAGTGAAGGTGTGAAATTGGCTGTTGTGTCAAACTTTGACACTAGATTAAGACCCCTCTTGCGGGCTTTGAATTGTGATCACTGGTTTGATGCTATGGCAGTTTCAGCTGAAGTAAGTGTCAGTTTATTAATTAATTTATTTTTTACATTTTTCCTTTTTTTCCATTGTTCAATCTCTCTCTCTCTTTCTCTCTCAAACAGGTTGAAGCAGAGAAGCCAAATCCCACCATATTTCTGAAAGCTTGTGAGTTGTTGGGAGTAGAACCTGAAGATGCCGTTCATGTAGGGGATGATCGTAGAAATGATATATGGGGTGCCAGAGATGCAGGTTGTGATGCTTGGCTTTGGGGAAGTGATGTTCATTCCTTCAAAGAGGTATCAATAAGTTCACTTTTCTTGCTTGCTAACAAACTTTGTGTTTGTGCTATGCAAATCTTGATGTTTCTGCAATTAGTGACCTTTTTTTTTCTTCCCCCAGATGTCCTGTTTCAGTTTCAGATTGCAGCCTATCTGCTTTTGTTACATTTTATATTTGAAATTGTTTAGAAGGACGCGTTGTGGTGACCAAATATGTTGGTGTCTAGGCAAATTTATCAACAGAATAATAGTAGAGATCATGGAAAAAATATCATGAAATGCATCATGATCATGAAGATTTTCCATCCTTTGATTAGAATGTGGTGTTTTATTGGATGTGTAATCTAAAGGTGGAGAATCTTTCATGATCATTTTCATGATATTTTTTTCATGATCCCTAGCATTACTCTTATCAGAATCCAGATTGGGATTTAAACCCTTACAAACAAAGCTATATTAGGAACACAGTTGTTAAGGTACGGTACAGATCATGGTTGGTAATGGAGGAGAGTTATGGTGACCAAATGTTGTTTGAACTAGTCGGGTATGCTTGAACCCATTAAAAAGAGTGCTTCGGTTATGTTCCACTAGTTTTGTTTACATGGCACATGGTGGATGTTCACAAGTCCAATTAAGCTTTCAATCCCGGGCCCAAAATTTCCACAAGTAACCCATCTAACCGCAAGACTGGATCTTAATGGGCCCTGGGTCCAGCCCACTCATGCTCAAACATTAATTATGCTCAACTGGGTATCTTAGGTGGGATTTGGCAATTGCTTTTTTAGTTGCTCTTTTGGAATCTAAAAAAGTTGATGTGTTTGTTAATTGCTAAAAAGTTTTTTTTTTTTTTTTTTTTTTTTTTTTTTTTTTTTCAGTGAGAAAATTGGTGTTTTTAGCTTTTTTAGTTTTTTTTCAGCTGAAAATAAACAGGCTTGCTTTTTGGTTTATTTGCCAAAAAGCAGCTTATTTAGCTTAGTCCAAAAGGGGCCTAAGTTGCTTGGTTTGAAATTGGCTGAGTTTATCCAAGTACTTATATTTTCGAGTTCACTCAGTCAAGTTGATGCAATATACTTCAATTAGGTTCATAATATGACAAACCCTAAGGGGTGCAAGAGGTACTCCCTCTTGAGGATATCCTCGGGGCTTATGCTCAGTGATTACTAGGTATTTGTGAAACAGGGAGACTTCATGTATTTGAGGGACTAGTCCTCTGTGATAAAAAAAAAAAAATTTAAAAGTATTTCATTTAAAGTATTTCAAACATGCATTATGATTCGCCCTGGGCACTTCTGTGATAAAAAAAGGGTTCACAGTATTGACAAGCATATGCATTATGATTATAAAGGCTGGATGCAGTGATGGGACTCGTGGCATTTCTTTGGTGCAGGTTGCTCAGAGGATAGGAATTCGGGTCTGAAAGAGGAATGGTTTCATTAAAAAAAAAAAAATTTAAAAGTATTTCATTTAAAGTATTTCAAACATGCATTATGATTCGCCCTGGGCACTTCTGTGATAAAAAAAGGGTTCACAGTATTGACAAGCATATGCATTATGATTATAAAGGCTTGATGCAGTGATGGGACTCGTGGCATTTCTTTGGTGCAGGTTGCTCAGAGGATAGGAATTCGGATCTGAAAGAGGAATGGTTTCATTTCATTGTATAGAAGCTTCTCATCCTGCTTCTCTTTGTAATAATCAATTGTATATATTCCGCTGTTCTTGTTATCTGTATGAGGTAGATCAAAAGATGTGAGGATACAGCTAATGTGACTGTAGAATAAATAGCAATAAAAAGACATTAGTGAGGGTTTTTGTGTTTTCTATGCCAAATTCCAGTTGCATTTGTGATGATTTTGTTTACAAACACCCTTTAATGCCTCTAACCTGGGAGACCAGTTGGGTATTGGCACAAAGAGAAGCTTGGCAAAATTTGGCTGGATTGGATGAGGATCTTAGGTTGATTTCGATGAAAGCTGTATCTTTATGCTTTCAGAATGTTCTAGAGAAGTATTGGAACAATGGGTGATATGCAGTTCTCATAGTGAGTGTTCCCTTGCAAAATGAAAAGTGATTGAAAAATAATGTATATGCAATTACAAAAATGTACACTCACTAAAACCTGCCATATTACTAATTTTTAAAGGATAAATTACATTGATTTCAGGATTAATAAAATTATAGGAGCATCACTCTAGGTTCTTAAAATGTATCTTTATCAGACATGTCGGGCTAATGCTGTTAATAAAAAATTGACTTTTTTACTTGTTTAGCTGAATTTTAAAGAATATAAAAAATTATATTGATTTGTCTTGAAAAATTACAAGAACTTTTCTGGACGGTTATGGTAATTACCCTTGGTAGAGAAACAAGTCACATGGTAGAGAAACAAGTCACACCACACTAAATCAATATTCCTATTGTTACGCAAAAAATTATTCCTTTAAATCGATTGGTTTGAACCTTTTTTTATTTATGATCATGATGGTGTCTTTAAACTAAGGATCAAATTTTCATAAAAAAAAGAAAAAAGAAAAAAATGTTACATTTCGTATTCCTTAATTTTAATTGAGTATAGTATCATTCATGAAATGTTTAGGGTCCATAAGCTAACAATATATCTTTTTGGTTGTTCTTAAATTAGTATAATTACATTCACTAGGAATTTTTTTTAAAAAAAGGGGACTTACGACACAGTTCTACTAACCAAACTTATTTATTTATAAATTCTAAATTAAAAAGTATATACGATTTATAGATACTTAAGTTTATCACATAGGATTAAATTGTAATTTATTTATAAAAAAAAACACCCTTATTTCTTTTCTTCTCTATTGGTTTTTAGAAAAATAATTCATCACCGAATTTGAACTCGTATGAATTTGCGGTTGCCACTCTTGTCAATTGTAGCTGTTACCCTTGTTCCAAACTTGTTTAGCTGAATTTTAAAGAATATAAAAAATTATATTGATTTGTCTTGAAAAATTACAAGAACTTTTCTGGATGTTTATGGTAATTACCCTTGGTAGAGAAACAAGTCACACCACACTAAATCAATATTCCTATTGTTAGGCAAAAAATTATTCCTTTAAATCAATTGGTTTGAACCTTTTTTTATTTATGATCATGATGGTGTGTTTAAACTAAGGATCAAATTTTCATAAAAAAAAGAAAAAAGAAAAAAATGTTACATTTCGTATTCCTTAATTTTAATTGAGTATAGTATCATTCATGAAATGTTTAGGGTCCATAAGCTAACAATATATCTTTTTGGTTGTTCTTAAATTAGTATAATTACATTCACTAGGAATTTTTTTTAAAAAAAGGGGACTTACGACACAGTTCTACTAACCAAACTTATTTATTTATAAATTCTAAATTAAAAAGTATATACGATTTATAGATAGTTAAGTTTATCACATAGGATTAAATTGTAATTTATTTATAAAAAAAAACACCCTTATTTCTTTTCTTCTCTATTGGTTTTTAGAAAAATAATTCATCACCCAATTTGAACTCGTATGAATTTGTACCTATCGGATAGCGGTTGCCACTCTTGTCAATTGCAACTGTTACTCTTGTTCCAAGATGACCAACCAACAAATATACACAAATTCAGGCGATTTAAATGAGTCAAAATTCGATAGATATAGCATTGCTCTCGGTTCTTATTTTCTCCGGCCCAACAAAAAATGACAACACGGTCCAGCCCTATTCGTTGCCAGTCGAAAACGCGGGAAAATTAGAGCAATTCGGAAAAACGTAATATAGCTCGTATCGCTGTGAATTTTGAAGCAATCTCTCTCCCTCTCTCTCTCAACCATGGAGAGAATACATGTAACAGTGAGAACGAGACCTCTCTCTCCCGAGGACGCAAAGACTAGCCCGTGGCGAATCTCCGGCAACTCCATCTCCAACCCTAATCACTCCTCCAAGTTCGAATTTGGTACACTTTCTCTCTCTCTCTCTCTCTCTCTCTCTCGATCGATGCAATTTTGATGGAATCATTATTATAGGGTTTAATAATGTGTTATTCTTGCTTGTTTGTAGATCGGATTTGTGGAGAAGACTGCAAGACTCGAGAGGTCTATGAAGTTCGTACTAAAGATATTGTTGCTGCTGCAGTTCGTGGATTCAACGGTACACATGACTTTTAGCCTGTTTGGATTGAGTGGTTTGGAAAGAAAAGAAAACAAAAAAAACATGAAATGCAATTCACTTGTTTGGACAAGTAAATGAGAAAAAATAGAGTCATTTTGAACATCTCCAAAAGTGGACAGATTGGGAGAGAAAATAAACCAACTAACTACTACTATTTTTTTTAGAATTCCAAAACTGCACATTTAGATATAGAAGAAATTAAAAAAAAAAAAAAAAAACTGACATTTATGAAAGATTATTCTATTTCTACATTTGCACATGACACAGTATCCATGTGCAACTAGATTTCTTCAGATAATTGCAACTGCCCTTTGTATTCTTGTACAACTTTCTTAACTTTTTTTCATAGACTGTATTGAGTAACGTGTTTGTTTAGGTAAAATCAAAACTTGGTGAATGAATATCAATTCATTCCCTTTTATGTTAGGGGGATTTGGTGATAGACCCCTAACTATCTAATTTATTTTTTAAAAGGAAAATAATTATATAAGTACTTTCAAAACCCTATAATATTTTAAAACTTGTTTCTTTTATTATATTACCCTCATATCTATCAGCTCTCTTATTAGCCATTTTCACAGTGTATTTCAGAGTAAAATTTTACTTTGAATTACAGTAAACTTTACTCTGATTCAGAGTAAAATTTACTCTGAATCAGAGTAAAGTTTACTATGATTCAAAGTAAAATTTTATATTTTTAAGCAAATCAACATGTTTTTAACCAGAGTAAAATTTCTGTGTAAAATTCTTATTAGAGAGATTTTTATTAGAGAGAGACGAGGAGAGAGAAATTGAATAGATCATCCATTGAACAAACTGAGTATGAACAGATAAATTCAGAAACCAGTAAAAACACTAATCTATGTTTCAAGGATATATAACCACAAAACACACAGATCAAAAACTAAACAAAAACATCCAAATATCAACATAATCATAATCCGACTGAGGTGGCCATTTTAGAGAACACATCCGAATATCTCTTTAGCTTTTGATTTCAAAGAATACATGTGTTCAACAACACTCATACACACAAATATATATATATATATATACACATATATATTCAAAACTCAGATCTGTGTTTAAAAAAAATATGTATAACCAAACAACTCCACCAAACATGCCTTTGTCGCCTCCTAGAAGGGAGAGAGGGAGGAAAGAGAGCGAGAGAGAGAGAGAGAATTGATTTGTAACTCTGTAGGAGGTGATTTTGAGCAATCATTCAATGACTTTTCGATCGATGAGGCTATCATCAACGGCAAGAACATGAACTTCATGAGAATTGGAAGACGATACGTCGTCGTTGTCGAAGCTTTCTCCGATCATCTTCGACGATCTCTTTCGCCGCGAAACAGCACCGGTTCTGATCATCTCTGTAATCCGAATCTCTTAACCTTTACCAAAAACAAATTGATTGCAAATTGATCGAAAATCTAACACTCCCTGATTATATATGCAGAAGCTGTCTGTGACTTTAGAAAGGAAGAGAGTGGGGGAGAGAGTGGAAAGAATTAGTTGAGGGTGTAATAGTCATATAAAATATTTAAGTAATAAATTTTGTCATTTATGCAAGACTTTATAATTATGAGGGGATTTAGAAAGTATAATTTTTTTTTTAGCCTTTTAACAATGAAAGGAAGGTAAAGGGGGCTTATAGCTAAATTTCCCTTTATATTAATTAAGTAACATAACTTACAAGGAGAGCCCTAAGGCATGAAATTAGGAAACAGATAATTACAAATATATAAATGAATAGTCTAACACTCCCCCTCAAGCTAGTGCAAAGATATCTCTCATCTTTAGCTTGCGAAGAAGATCATGAAACGGGATATTCCCAATCCCCTTTGTAAGGATATCAGCGAGTTGTTTACCAGACTTCACAAATGGAGTACATATTGTGCCGCTAGTGAGTTTCTCCTTAATGAAGTGACGATCAATCTCAACATGCTTTGTCCTGTTATGTTGAACTAGATTGTAAGTTATGTTGATGGCAACTTTATTATCACAATATAGTCGCATGGAATCTGTTTGATCTATCCCCAGATCACTCAACAACAACTTGATCCACAAGAGCTCACACACACCTTGTGTTATGACTCTAAACTCTGCCTCCGCACTAGACCGGGCAACCACATTCTGTTTCTTACTTCTCCAAGTAACCAGATTCCCTCCAACAAAGGTACAATGCCCCGAAGTGGACCTCCTATCATTTATTGATCCTGCCCAATTTGCATCTATATAGGCTTCCACACTAAGATGATTGTGTTTGGAAAAATAAAGGGCCTTTCCAAGAGAAGATTTTAAGTATCTCAAAATCCTCATAACTGCCTCCAAGTGTATTGCATGAGGAGTATGCATGAACTGGCTAACTATACTAACTACAATAGCGATATTGTAAACACAAATTTAAAACATGATGTGTTTCAACACATTTCAAAATTTTATATTACAAATGTCCACTGTTTACACATTTTATACAAATGAAACTTCCGATTAATAAAGAACAAAATAAACAACAAAAGACAATTTAAGAAAAAAGAAATATTTTATTGAGATTGTTATGGGTTTTGAACCCTCGAATACAAAATACAGTTTAGGTTTGGAACTCTTTACCTATTCATCGCTATTAGCGTAGGCTCTTGAGTTCTTTAGGCTTTTTTTCTTCTTTCTTGTAACGATTTGTTTAGCTCTTAATTTCGTTTTCTCTCTCTCTGATCTTTTCACTTCTGATTTCTTCTGATCCCTCGTCTTGTGTGATGGTCCTCATATTTATGGAGGGCCATCAGGTGATAGGAATGCTTTATCTTCAATTTGAATTTCAAATTGAATGATGGCGCCATTTGAATTTTGAATAATAGCGATTAATCGTATATCTGATTAACCAGATTGATCTTTGGGGTTTCATCCTGTGTGGTGTCCTTGTTGTAGGCTCTACAGGTGTCATCTTTCGTAGGCTCCACGTGTCACTTGAGCAATTTGAATAACGTCGTTGAGATACAACGTCGTTTTATTTATGTACTTCAACGGATCATATTGATCTTTTTTTAGGAAGTGATTACCTACAACCTTCCTATCATAGGCTCTATACGTGTTATAAATTTAGTTGAAATTTATGTGCCAACAGATATCAGGACAAGAATGGGATAAGTAAATGAGTTTACCCACTAACCGCTGATAACTTCCCCTATCAATAGCTGCTCCTCCAATATCATCACTCAGTTTCTGCTTAGGCTCTAGAGGAGTATTACAGGCTTTGCTTCCAAGCATCCTTGTTTCTTTCAACAAGTCAAGGACATATTTTCTCTGACAGATGAAAATCCCATCCTTGGATCTGAGAACTTCAATACCCAAAAAATACTTCAGATTTCCCAAGTCTTTGATCTCAAACTCCCTTGCCAAATACTTCTTTAGCAGAGGAATTTGCTCAACATCATCCCCTGTAAGCACTATGTCATCCACATACACAATGAGAGCCGTCGTCTTACCATGGGAGAAATGTTTAACAAACGGAGTATGATCAGCCTGACTTTGTTTGAAACCATACTTCACCATCGCTTGAGTAAATCTCTCAAACCAAGTCCTTGGAGACTGTTTGAGACCGTATAGTGACTTTCGAAGTCGACATACCTTCCCCTTTGTCTGAAGATCTTCAAAACTAGGGGGAATGTCCATATACACCTCTTCTTCTAGGTCATCATGGAGGAAAGCATTCTTCACATCAAACTGGTGAAGTGGCCAATCCAAATTAGCTGCAAGAGAGAGGAGTACCCTGACAGAATTCATCTTCGCAACTGGAGCAAATGTCTCCTGATAGTCCACCCCATTTGTCTGAGTAAAACCTTTTGTTACAAGTCGAGCCTTATAACGCTCAACTGAACCACCTGCCTTGTGCTTTACTGTATACACTCATTTGCATCCCACGGTTCGTTTGCCCCTAGGTAACTCAGTCAATTCCCAAGTGCCATTCTTACGAAGTGCTTTCATTTCCTCAATCATAGCAAGTTTCCACTCAGAGGTAGTGAGAGCATCCTAAAAATGATTAGTTATACTCACAGAAGAAATGTTGGACACAAAGGCTCTATATGAGGATGGCAAATGAGAGTATGACACAAAATTAGAGATAGGATGTTGAGTGCAAGATCTCACACCCTTTCTCTTGGCAATAGGAATATCAAAATCAGTAATGTCAGGAATAGCAACATCAGTAGACTCAAGAGAAACAACAGGGTCAAAGTTACCTAGACTCTTATCAGAAGTAGGAGATGGCAATGTGTGAGCAGAAGTGGTCTTTTGTATCCAAGTAACTTTCTGTCTGTCTTTGTCCCTGACATAAACTTGCTCTTCCCTGTCCTTGGTGGCATTAAAGTCTATAGTCTCAGCAATAGGTGGTGGAGGAACAAATGATTCCACCATAGGAGTAACAGGGACAACCATAGGAGTAACAGGGACAACAAGAATCTCTTTACACCAAGGCTCCCCCTGAAGGGATGGCTGGGGCACCGGAGAAGACAAGAAGTAAGACTGGGATTCAAAGAAGGTGACATCCATGAACACAAACCACTTACAAGAAGGAGGATGATAACACTTATATCCCTTTTGAGTAGGGGAGTAGCCGAGGAAAATATACTTGAGAGAGCGAGGGTCCAACTTATCACGTGTAGGGGAATGATTGTGAACAAAACAGACACACGCAAAGATTTTTGGAGAAATGGAAAACAGAGACGCGGACCCTAAGAGAACTTGGAGAGGAGCCTTTTTATGCAATACTAGAGTAGGAAGACGATTAATGAGATAGGCAGTGGTGAGAATGGCCTCGCCCCAATGGGACCGAGGCACACCCATAGAAAAAAACATATAGCGAGCCATGTCAAGAAGATGACGATTCTTGCGCTCCGCGACCCCATTTTGTTACGGGATATTGGTGCAAGAAGTCTGATGGATAATGCCATGAGTGGAAAAATATCTCTCTAACCCCGAATCAATGTATTTACCCCCATTATTAGAACGTAAGATTTTGACAACAGTCCCAAATTAAGTACAAAGCATTTTATGAAAATTTTGAAACACAGAGAAAACCTTACTCTTTTCTTTCATGATATACACCCAAGTAGTACATGAAAAATTATCGATAAGCATGACAAACCATCTATGGCCTTTCAATGACACAACACGAGATGGACCCCAAACATCAGAATGTATTAAAGAAAAAGGAACTACGCTTTTATTAATATGAGGAGCAAAAGAAGCTCGTGTTTGTTTGCCAAGTTGACAAGACTCACATTGAACATATTATTTTTGGTAAAAACAGAAGGAAATAAATGTTAAAGCAGATAGAAGGAGGGATGACCAAGACGTCGATGCCACAACCATAAATCATCCTTGGTTAGAGACTGGATAGAATGATGTGCAACCTTGTCAGCCTGATCCAAGATATAAAGACCATGTTCTGCTTTACCACTGCCAATCGTCCTCCCTGTGATAAAGTCCTGAAAAAGACAATGATCAGGGAAAAAAGTCACACTATAATTCAAATCCTGAGTAATACGACTCAAGGATAAAAGATTAACAGAGAAATTAGGAACATGTAAAACTGAAGAGAGAGGAAGGGTAGAAGTGGCATGAATTAAACTTTTCCCAGAGACAGAAGAAATAGTACCATCTACAATGCAAACTTTGTCGTGTCCTGAAGAGGGCTTGTAGTCAGAGAAAAGATCAGAAGATCCAGACATATGATCTGAGGCACCAGATCAATAATCCATGGGACAGACTTATGGGATAGGAAAACACTGGGAAGAGAGGCTAAGTTACCTGATCGGGCAAATGAAGAAGAGGATGCATCTGGAGGAGTGGTAGAAGACTGGCGGTCCAACAAGTGACGCAAAATATCCTCAAACTTAGAAGAAGACAGATCAGATACCCCATCAAAGGACAAGCCAACCGGGGCTGGAGTGGAATCAAGTATGCCAACTGCACTAGATTGATGGGCCTGTGGATTAAAGCCACGTCCTCTAGACTGGCTGGACCGGTCTCCGCGAGAACCAGACCGATCACCTCGACCGCCAAATGGAGCCCCATGAAGCTTCCAACAGGTCTCACGAGTATGTCGTGGCTTGTGGCAGTAATCACAAAACAAAGGGTCTTTTGTAGAAGGATTAGGAGAAGCATGGGCAGATTGGTTCCATCCCGAGGAGGAACAGAAAGTAAGGCAGAGCGTTCTAGAGAAGCAGTTGGCATCATAGCAGAATGACGACTCTCCTCATTTTGTACGTGAGCAAAGGCCTCCTGAAGAGAAGGAAGAGTATCCATGCCAAGGACACGACTGCGAACTGGATTAAATTCCAGATTAAGACCTTCCAGAAACTTGAAGACCCTCTCCTGTGCAATAAATTTCATGTAGCCAACGGAATCAGTAGTGCAAACTGGTTTATAGTCCTACAGGTGATTAAGACATTTCTAGCCATTGTTAAGAAATATGAAGTACTAAAGAACAGTCTGCTCCCCTTGTACGGAGCGCTCGATGGAATGACGCAACTCAAAGGTTTGCGAAAAATTGCCCTTGTGAGAATAGGTGGCAGCCAAAGCTTCCCAAACATCCTGAGCAGTTTCCATGGACAAGTAGCCTTCACCAATATCCAAAACCATAGAATGAATACGCCACCCCATAATCAAGGAGTTAGTAATCTCTCATTGGTCATAACCAGAATCATTAGGACCTGGTGGTTGAACCCTTCCATCAACATAATCCATCTTCCCTCTGCTCTTCAAAAAACGAGTCAGACTCTGCGACTAGGCTTAGATAATTCTGACCATTAAACAGCGAGGTGGTAATTTTGAGGCTAGGATTGTAGTTTTCGGATTGAGTAAGCATAATGAGGCTCTCCACTTGAGGTGGTTGGATACGAGTGGTGGATTTACTAGTAATTTCGGCTATCTGAGTATGCTACTTTTTTAATCCACAACCAGTAGGAATCACAACAATGGGAGGAAGAGAACAACCAAATAATGACAATCACAGACCACTATGGGAGCATCGAAATCAAATTATTGGGGCCATCTATTGACCCAAAAATAATACAGAAACCAGAACCCCAATCAAAACAAGTTTTTTTTTTTTTTTTTTTAAGGTTTTTTTTTTTTTTAAGGTATCAAGATCAGTATATCAGTACCAAATCTCACAGAGACATGCGAGAGCCACAAAGGAACAAAGGGACTGCCGACTAGACTTAAACAGACAGTCGAACTGCCAAATGGTGTCGTCTGGTCCTAGGTGAACTCCGACGGAAGGCGTTTGGTCCTGGGTGACCTTCGACTAGCTTCGTCCTGGCTTGGATGGTCTCCGACGGCTGTCGACTGAGCCTGGAAGGCCTGCTGCTGCGTGCGCAAGCCCCAGATAGCTAAATGAGAGACCGAAAAATGGTGGTGGTGGGTTGGCTGGAGATGGGTTTTTCCAGAGTGGTGATGGAAGGTGGCGGAAGAAGCTGGATTTAGGGTTTGGGCTTTGATACCATGTTTGTTTAGGTAAAATCAAAACTTGGTGAATGAATATCAATTCATTCCCTTTTATATTAATTAAGTAACATAACTTACAAGGAGAGCCCTAAGGCATGAAATCAGAAAACAGATAATTACAAATATATAAATGAATATTCTAACATAACGTTTATTAAATTTGGTGTTAGGTATGAATTTGAAGTCCCCTTGGCCCCAATGGACACTTTACTTTGATCATGTAAATTTCTAGTTTTATGTTTACAAACTCTCTCTCTCTCTCTCTCTCTCTCTCTACACTTGCCCTCTTGTAGGCACTGTTTTTGCTTATGGACAAACTAATAGTGGAAAAACACATACAATGCGAGGCTCAACTTCTGAACCTGGAGTCATACCTCATGCCGTACGTGATTTGTTCGATAGTATACAAGAGGTAGCTGTTATTGTTCAAGCTTTTTATATTTAATAACTTTTCTTTTCATTTTTCTCATCATGTCATTTCTACATGTCCTTTGTCTTTGTGCATTACTAGGTGTTACACGAGAGACTATTGTTTGGTCAATTTGGGAAATCTTTCAAATGAGAATAGATCTCAAATATCTAATAGAGTGAAATAGATTAGTCTTCAGTTGGACTGCCCATGGCATTATGTGGTGCATCAGTTAAAAAATTTAGTTTGTCTCCAGAGAAGTCAATTGTTTCTTGGGCTTTCGCTTGGTTAGGCATCTACATGTCTCTTTTTCATCCTAATGTGTCTCTAGTAACTCTTTGGATACCACATTACCACTTATTATTTTAAACCTAAAATGGGCAGCTGTTGGCCTGTTCAGCACGGTGCTGCTTTACCGTACACTGCTTCAGGGATGACGGGCAGCTGTTGAACTGGACTTTCTTAGTTAATTTGGTATTGATTGAGGACACCAGTGAACTTGGTACTCTTTATTTGATCAGCATATTGTAATCATTTGTGCTGTAACCACTGTTAACTTTTACCATGTTCTGTTCTGGTTCTGATATCGTGTCTTCTTTCCAAGCACCACTTTTCTCTTAAAGTTGTTGATTTGGTTTCTCTTCTATAATCTTAATGCTTTAGGATATGGATCGAGAGTTTCTTTTAAGAATGTCCTATATGGAGATATATAATGAGGAAATAAATGATTTGCTAGCTCCTGAGCACCGAAAACTGCAGATTCATGAAAGTCTTGAGGTACTTATTACTTCCCACTGGGACCTACTTAACTGATATTGATATCGTTCTGATAAATAATGACTGACTGTCCATTTATTCTGATTTCCTTCATGTATGAAGCGGGGAATATTTGTTGCTGGGTTAAAAGAAGAAATTGTTGCCTCGCCTGAGCAAATCCTTGAACTTATGGAGTTCGGTGAATGTGGGTTTTTTTGAACATTTCTATCCTTTGAATTTCTTCTTTTTAAAGTACTGTATGGTAAAGTTACTAATCTTTCTGATATCCTAATTTTTATAATTGTGCAATCTTGTACGCTTATTTTCCATTTGCATAGATTATTGAGAGTAAGGAGAGAAGTGAAGATGAAGATAGTGGCAGTTCTTGTGATGCTGTTCGTGTATCTGTTTTGGTATGCATCAACAAAATTTTCTATACTTTCTATAATATTTATTTTTGGATTGCTAATAATTGTTAGGTACATCATTGTTTATTGCTGTGATATACAATATTTTGCTTGTTTTCTCCATCCATCTTATTTTTTTTGTGGGGTCTATTTTTAGAACTTGGTGGACCTTGCTGGTTCAGAGCGTGCTGCGAAGACGGGTGCTGAAGGTGTTCGTTTGAAAGAAGGTTCTCACATTAATAAAAGCCTAATGACACTTGGAACTGTCATCAAGAAATTGAGTGAAGGTGCTGAGAGTCAAGGGTATGTTCTACAATTGTTTTGGAAAGCTATCTAATGTATTTTTTCATTTTATAGTTGATGTACATCAATCAATATCTGTTGCAGGGGTCATGTTCCTTATCGAGACAGCAAACTCACACGTATTTTGCAACCTGCACTAGGGGGAAATGCAAATACTGCCATCATATGCAATATTACACTTGCTCAGGTAACATATTCAGTGTACCATATGCAATATCATGCTTGCTCAAGTAAAACTTAGTAAATTCAGTGTACCGATGCTTACATGAAAATATTTGTCAAAGTTACCTGAAAAAGTGAACATTGTTCAAAATACCTTAAGTCAATAGTGTTTGCATGACTTTGTCAACTGCTAATTTTGAGTTCATTTTGAGGTTCCCTTCTATTTTCAATTTCTTCCTAAGGTTTGATGTGTTGTGATGAAAAGCAATTTTAGAGCAAAGATTCTAACAAAACTTGATTCCAAGGGTCCATTTAATTTCAATTAAAGCTTGAAGCTCAGGGGCAGTCTTGCTGGGTCTCTTGAAGTTTTATTTTGTTTTATTTTATTTTTTATTTTGTAGAAAGTTTTAGGAAATAAAGTTTTTTTTTGCACCCGAAAGTTTTTTCTCATGAGCCTATGTAACTAGTTGTACTTTCAAAATTTTAACAGTTTCTAGTTTTTAGTTTTTTGTTTTGAATTCTGATTGTAAAAATAAATTGATGTATATTATGGTGTAAAATAAATTGATGTATATTATTGATTGATATGTGTTATGTGTATATTATAAGGATTCCTATTATATAGGAGAGGATTTGAGAGTAGGTGAGGAGTAGGTGTAGGTGGTAGTGGAGGTGGTAGGTGGAGTGGGTGGTAGTGGAGGTGGTAGGTGGAGTGAGTGGTGGTGGTAATTTACATTTACACAATTTACATTAACAGCCCCCCTCAAACTCAAGGAGGATAGGCACTAGCCAACTTGAGTTTGGAGAGAGTCACAAAGCAGAAAAATAAACTGATAAATAAAACAGGATAGGAGACACGGTATGGTCGTGTCAGACCGTTGTAGGAGACACAGTGTGGTCGTGTTAGACCGGTGTAGAAGACAGTTTACGGGGTCATGTCGGACCGATGTAGAAGACAGTTTATGGGGTCATGTCGGACCGTTGTAGCAGACACTGTGTGGTCGTGTCAGACCGTTGTAGCAGACAGTTTATGGGGTTGTGACAGTTGTTGTGACAGTTTACGGAGTCTTGTCGGATCCTTGTAGAAACTAACCGGAATCAATGTCGGGACAGTTTACAGAGTCTTGTCGGACCCTTGTAAAAACTAACCGGAATCAATGTCGGGACAGTTTACAGAGTCTTGTCGGACCCTTAAAAAGTCGCACCCTCAAAAGGTGTGCCCAATCTTTCAAAAGGCGTGCCATCAAAAGGCGTGCCCAATCCATAAAAAGGTGTGCCATCAAAAGGCGAGCCCAAGTCATAAAAAGATGTGCCGGACATTATGGCGAGGCGCGTCACCACATTGGCTTGCGCGCCCGGTTTGTCGTCTGGCGTCAAGGGGCGCATGATGCGCGTGTCTGCCTCTTCGTTATGGTCTTTATAAACCGAAGCGGAGGCTGAGGTTGAGGCAGAAAACCTGCTAAAAAAAAAATTTCTTCGTTGTCTGAGAGAGAAACTTCTGAAATTCTCTGTAACAACTGTTGCCCAGAAAATGGCCTCTTCGTCACGTAGTCTGCTCACTCTCTTTCCCGACCTCAATGAGTCCACAAGAGAGGTAACCGTTGCGGTTGCCAGTGAACCTCAACCAAACACCTCTGGTTTTGCTCCGTTAAACTTTCCGATGCGGTCGGTGGAGCAAAAAATGGCAGTACAAACAGAGTGAACCTCAACCAAACACCTCTGGTTTTGCTCCGTTGAACTTTTCGATGCGGTCGGTGGAGCAAAAAATGGCGGTGCAAACTGATATTGAGGCCAATCAGTATACTCTGAAGTCATGCGTGGAAACCATGACTGCGGTCACAAATTTGTCGCACCGGCTGCAGAGCAGGACAAATGAGGTGCAACAGTTAAACTCCCAGCTGGCTCTGCTCCAACGCATGTATAAGGATGCGCGAGCAGAGATAAGTGTGTTAAAGACAGAAAATAAGAAGCTGAAGCGGAAGGCCACCGTGATGTTCCGATTTGGAGGTCCTCCATATGCTGCAGTGGAGGAGTATGGGGGAGTGAACGTGCTCGGTGGACAAGGAAACACGGAGGCAACACCGGCAAGGGCCGTCCAAGACGGAGGCAAGAAGAAGAGACCGGCGGCTGAGTAGTGGAAGTGAGGTCTGTGGGTGGCCGTCTGCAGAAAAGAAAACAAATCTGTGGGTGTTGTGTTTTTTTTTTGTGTGTGTAAAATGGTGATCGGGGTTGATCCCTGAAATGAATAAAATATGGTTTGGTGTGCAAAGCTATATATATTTTTTATATTTTTGTTTTTGTTGTTTTTGTTTTTGTTGTTTTTGTTTTTGTTTTTTTTGTTTTTTGTGTATTGTGAAAAAGGGAACACAAAAAAGATAAGAGAAATAAATAAAAATTCTATTTTGTGGTGAGGGAGTCGGTGAGGGAGGTGTAAAAGGTGATTAAAAGAAATAAATAAATAAAGTTTAATAAAATATGAGTGAGTGGGTATTCAATCCTGCCAAAAGGAAGAGAGAGAGAGATGGGGTGTCTTGATTGCCTCAGATCAGTTCATGAATTAAAATATGAGTGAGTGGGTGTATGGTGATAGTGGAATAAAATATGAGTGAGTGGGTCTTCAAGTCTGCCAAAAGGAAGATGCTTATCACAGAGCATTATTGATTGCACCAGACAATAACAAGATGTGCAATTTGGGTATTTGCTTGATGAAGCAAGGGAGAATTGCCGAAGCGAAGGAGACTCTTCGGAGAGTAAAACCAGCAGCCATGGATGGCCCAAGAGGTGTGGACTCCCACCTCAAGGCCTATGAGAGGGCACAGCAAATGCTTCGAGATTTGGAGTCTGAAATGATGAATAAGAGCGGTGGAGATAGAGAGATGTGATGGAGGCTTTTCGTCTTCTGGAAGTTGCGTTGCAACAGTCTGCAACAGATCACTCCACTGGAACCATTGGTATGGATCTCATTACAACTGGGGTCTCTGCAAGTGAAAGGATGAGAAGGGAAAATCTGTTATCCGCAACTCACAACATAAGTATGGAGAAGATGCAGATTGGAGGGGCCTCTACTCGGTTCTTGGAGTTACTGGAAGAGTTGGCGTCAATTCGAGCTAGCAGGAGCTGTTTTGGTGAAGTTGAGAGAGTGAGGAAGGCTTTAGCTCAGATAGAAAATTCCAGTGGGCAGCAAAGGCAAAGTTGCCGGCCGGCTGCCCGCCGGTGACAAAGAAATACAGGCTTAAATCTTATGGCTCTGATACCATGTTAAAATTTAATGTATAAAGAGAATTGTTTTATTGATTAATATTTGTTGTGTTTACAATGAGTCCTATATATAGAAGATTAGAGGAGGTAGGTATGTAGTAGGTGGAGTAGGTGAAGTGGGTGGAGTAGGTGTAGTGGAGGGGTCATGTTCCTTATCGAGACAGCAAACTCACACGTATTTTGCAACCTGCACTAGGGGGAAATGCAAATACTGCCATCATATGCAATATTACACTTGCTCAGGTAACACATTCAGTGTACCATATGCAATATCATGCTTGCTCAAGTAAAACTTAGTAAATTCAGTGTACCGATGCTTACATGAAAATATTTGTCGAAGTTACCTGAAAAAGTGAACATTGTTCAAAATACCTTAAGTCAATAGTGTTTGCATGACTTTGTCAACTGCTAATTTTGAGTTCATTTTCAGGTTCCCTTCTATTTTCAATTTCTTCCTAAGGTTTGATGTGTTGTGATGAAAAGCAATTTTAGGGCAAAGATTCTAACAAAACTAGATTCCAAGGGTCCATTTAATTTCAATTAAAGCTTGAAGCTCAGGGGCAGTCTTGCTGGGTCTCTTGAAGTTTTATTTTGTTTTATTTTATTTTTTATTTTTTAGAAAGTTTTAGGAAATAAAGTTTTCTTTGCACCCAAAAGTTTTATCTCATGAGCCTATGTAACTAGTTGTACTTTCAAAATTTTAACAGTTTCTAGTTTTTAGTTTTTTGTTTTGAATTCTGATGATGGTATGAATTGTATTCCTAAGTAAGATTTATTAGTTTATGTCCAATTCCAATGTCAAAATTGAACTATATCTGGCCATATTGGCAAGATTTAGCTTCCTTGTGTTCAATGGTGTTTACTTTTGATTGCTCTAATTCATTACTTGTTTTGATATGTACTTTCTTTCACATATTCTTCATCTACTTTTTTCTTATTGCTTTTTTTAATGGCAGATTCATGCTGATGAGACTAAAAGCAGCCTCCAATTTGCAAGTAGAGCATTACGTGTTACAAACTGTGCTCGTGTGAATGAGGTTTTGCTCTAAATGAAATTGCACATAATCATCATTTTTCATTATTTTTTGTGATTATCTTTAGAGGTTTTTTTTTTTTTTTTTTTGAGTGTTTTCTTCTACCTACTTGCATTTGAAATGTAGAATCCTTTCCTTATTGTTAATTTATTGTTCACTTGAAACTCTTACTTGGCCAAAACCTTTATGCCAGATTTTGACAGATGCTGCTTTGTTAAAGCGTCAAAAGAAAGAAATCGAGGAGCTTAGGGCTAAATTGCAGGTAGACATTACTTGTAAAAAGAAAAGAAAATATCTTCATGTGAACGGTTTATCTTGGAATGGTGCTTTTTAAAATATCAACTGTTAATTTGTCTCTTGTGATTAAGGGCTCTCATTCAGAACATTTCGAAGAGGAGATTCTCAATCTGCGGAATACTTTATTGCAGGTTTATATCGTTAAGTTTGTGGATTGTCTTGTAAATAATGATTTGTGTATCCTCAAGGTTATAATTTATTTTCTATAGACTGAATTGGAGAGGGAGCGGATAGCTATGGAGCTGGAGGAGGAAAAGAAAGCCCAAGCTGAACGCGAAAAGAGGTTGCAAGAGCAAGCTAAGAAGATTGAAAACTTGAGTTCAATGGTGTTGTACTCAAATAGGGATGAGAATCGTGATCAGCCCAAGAAGGTACTATGACAATGACTCTCTCTCTCGCTTCCTGGTAAATAACTATTCATGTCAATTGTCTAAATTACTTTTTGATTACGCTTTTTCTTAGATTTATTATGGTCGTAAACATGTCAAAGGTTACCTAAATCCAACATGATTAGATCAAATTATGAAACCAAAACAGTGGTTCGCCTAATGAGTCTTCTTTATTAATTTTGTTACAATTCCATCTAGTTTGAATTTGCGTATATGTGATCCAATGACAACCTGGAATAGGTTCCATGAACCACCACTAAGCCTTATCTTTAGGAATTTGGGAAATAATCAGTATACTTTTGCCTCCTGAACATTGGAAAGCATACAATAAACTGAATTGTCAATGAATAACTTTGAGAGAAGACTTGTGCTAGAAGATAGGTCTGAAGTGGCTTTCATTTGTTTTAATTGCCTCATATCATCTGTTCCAGACTATTTCTCTAACTTCTTGTCTTTTGTGTGGCTCTCTCTCTCTCTCTCTATATATATATATATATACACATATATATATATTTATTATATTTATATATCTATTGTGTTTAAATTGAATTTTTTCCCCTTGCTGCGGGGGAAGAGGCGTGATACCTGGTGCTTTGGTAATCTTTCAAGGGAGACTCTTGGGGAAGTAAGTGTTTATTTGTTACAAGCATATTGTATAGTTGGTTTTCAGGTGGTAGTGAGCCATCTTTGAACTAATTTTTGGAGTTTGTACAGAATTTTGAATACTTTTGATAAGTAGATGTTTTCCTCTTGTTTGTGTTTCTTGGTGCATTGGTGGCACTGGCACACCCTTGGTGCCTTTTTAATTTAATATACCCTTGTCAAAAAAAGAAAAAATACTATAACAGTGGCATGGCAGTGAGAAAAAATGATGGCTTATAATGGTATAGAAGAATGAGAACTGTTTCTCTAAAGGGATGGTATTCTTCTATTTTTGTTCTTTTAATTTAGAGAAGGAGGCGGGGGGCTTGTTCCATGAAAACTTATTTTTTCCCTAGAGCATCTAGCTTTAAATATAGATGAATGGTGGAAAAGATATGTTCACCCGACCTCAAGCTTGTTGGCATTTATTGCTTTGTCCAGATGAGCCAAGTTGTATTGTATGTCATTGTGATCTATTTGAACAAGAAAGATTTGTTTAAAGCTGATTCTTACATTTAGAAATTTCCATATGCTGATTTTTTTTTTTTTTATTTTAAATTTAAATTATATACATGCAATTATATTTTCATAAATATCTATGGGTATCTCTTTAATTTTTAACTTGGCTTGTTAGCCAACTCTTAAATATACTTTTAAAGTAAATGTGGCATTAAAATATTTGGTTTTCCCAAATATGCAATAATTTAGTTTGTCATAGATATAATCTAACGTTCATGTCTTCATGGTGCTTTAGTTGAATTCAGTAGTCCATGCAAAGGCTTCTGCTGTGAAACCCATGAGATCTGAGCGTGATATGGGACCGCTTCTTCCTTTTGAAGAGCTAGTTGATGATGCCAGCATGGATAACCCCTGCAAACTGAAGGAAGAAGTCGAAGACTGTACTCTTCCAGATTCACGTGCTCTGTTACATGTTACTAACCGGAAAAAAGCACCACTCAGGAAGAAAAGTTTACTTGTGGTTTGTATAATATCTTCTCCCTCTTCATTTTCTTACTTGTCTTTTTCTCATCATTTTCTTGTTTAAGTTTTGGCACTTTATTAATTGTTTGTCTGACAGGAGAACACTGAGTTAGAAGAACTACAAGCAGAATATGAAGACTTGCTTTTAAAATTTGAAACTCAGGTTATTATCCTTGCTTCCTTGTTATTAATGTTTCTGTAAGACATTTACTTGCTGTGGTATCTGATTAGTTGCCCTTTCCAACTTGCGGAAGATTATGAGTGAGATAGAAGTTGATTCCTTAACAAGAAAGTTGGCCGAGGCTGATCTATGTCTGCATGAGAAATGTAATGCCTATTCTACATATCATCTTGATAAAAGTACTATTCACAGGGATGCAACCAAAAGTTTGAGGGAGTCGGAGGCTATTCTTGTGATTAAGCAACTCCAAGAAAAGGTTTGTCAATTTCAGTCTATATCATCGCTTTGTTGCTGTTCTTTTATAAATTTCCATCTCATTGGTTTTTTATTATACGTCATTTTCAGTTTGTTGTCTATCCTGCAGATTAACATGTTAGAGGTGGAGAAGTCTTCAAGTCAACAAAATTTGGATTGTGTTGTTGAGTTAACAACAGAGCAGAACATATGCGCCACGGAGAGGTATGAAGAGGTAATCATGTGTCGATTGATTCATGCTTTGAGTGCTCTGCTATTTAAGTGTAAGAATGCAGAATAACTCATTGGTTCCTTAGTCAATTAATTTAAAAAAGGAGCTGTGAACAGAAATGCTCGATGTGAGTTGTATTGATCAATGCACTCCATCCACATATTAGAGTTATGTTCCATGTAATCAATTAGAGTTTTAGTACAGCTTATTTTCTATTGTCATTTTTGTCCAATGATGTCTTCCTCTCGCCTTATGTGGTTGCATATTTTATTGGATGCTGTATTAAAACTTCATCCTCTTTCTGTATTTTGATTTGTTATAAATCTGTCTTGCACTTGGGGTGTAGGTGGTGTAATTTTAGGAATTCGAGGTCATTAATTGTCTTGTCCTTTAGATTCCAAATACCCAGGGAAAGTTATAAATTTGTTTTCTTGTCTTGGTTTTGGTTGACTGGACTGAAGTTGTTCTATTGACTGCAAATTAAGAAAGGTTTATTGGTCTTCCTAAATATTTTTAAATTTTTAGTTTTATTTTTTATTGACTGAAATGGATTCGATGCAAGTGAATCTTCCTAAAAGAAAACACAAGCCTGCTTCACTTTTATTTTTAGGGAGATGTATGTGCATCTCAGCCTTCTCAGTTTGTGGTTGTAATGTGCCTGTGAGTGGTTGGTCTTAATGTTCTTTCTGTTTTCTTATGAATGCCTTATTTTTGCAGCTTTATGAAGAGCTTTTAAATGCACGGGAGGAGGCTAGAATTGCATGCGAACAACTTACTTCTGTGGAATCTGTCAGGACAATTGATGTATGCATCTTTTGCTTGTTTACAATTTTGCTGATGGTTCTTTTGGACTCATATTATAATATTATACTATTATTACAAGAAATTATGGTAGTTTTTTATCATATAAATGATTTTTTTCCCAAGCCTATGAAACTTATGTTGTGTTTGGTTGGGGGATTTGGGGAGTGATTTGGAAAGGGAAAGGGAAAAGGTGTGTGAAACTATGTGAAATATAGGCATGATTTATTCACATTTCACCTACCTTTTCCATTTCCCTTTCCAAATCCCTTCCCAAATCCCCCAACTAAATACAGCATTAATGTTTTGCAAGCATCATTTAGGAGGACAATTTGACTCCACGATCAAGCTATTACTTGAAGTGCAAGAAATAACATCAGAAGTACAGAACTCAAGAAATCTTGCTGAGAGAGTCTCTTTGATTGTGGATGAACTTTTCCAGAGTTTTTCTGCTATATTGAACCTTTTCACTGTGAGTAATCTTGAATACTTGGCCATTCAAAAAAATTTCATTTAGTTTGTGTAATAGTTATTTAACTATATGTTAAGTCTTCACCTTACAGAATTTGTTCATTCTGGTGCTATATTTGTAGATCATCTGTCAACTGAATCCTTGCATGACTATTCTATTCTTGTAATTATTGTGATGCAGGACTTCAAGTCTTTGGCATGCGATAACTCGATGCAACTAAAATCTATTATTAGTAACCAAGAGAGGTTGAACCACTGTATGAAGCACAAAGTCAATGAACTTGAAAATGAGAAGGTGCATGTCTACATTGAAATCTGTGAGATTATTCTCACTCTAACCATTTTTGAGAATTTTTTGTCTGGATGGTTGAATGCAGCTTCTTTTGCACAATCAATCTGTGGATCTCCACAGTCAGATTCAAGAATTAAGTCAAAAGGTTCAAGATTCTGACAAGGCATTATCTGTAAGTTACTTTCAGTTCTGTTTTATTTTTTTGGTATGTGCCTTTTATGACATGCTTAGTTTTCTTGCAGGAACTTTCCGAACAACATGATTTGGAAAAGTCTGAGCTCCCTTCTCAAATTTGAACTCTTGAAAAGGAAATATCGTGTTTATCATCTTCCTCCTTGGCTAGGGAAAAGGAAATTTTGAGAAAGGATCTTGAGAAAACAAAAACAAAGTTGAAAAAGCATTTTTTTTCTAATTTGTAGGGTGAAAAAGCATGCGCGGAGAGAGAATTAAAAAAATTGCATGCCCAAAAGTCTCTCCAGCGTGATATCAGCAAACGGGAGTCACTTGCTGGGAGGAATCGTGATTCCATTATTGACAGGAGTTCAAATGTGTTTGATCCGAGAAGGGCAAAGGGTCTTTCTGTTTCCTATGACCAGACATTCCAGGTGAAGAAGTGGGCTTCAATTAGATACATTGAAACAAAGTATATCCATAAATGTTCTCTTACAATATTTTTGATGTGGAGAGCAAGGCAGGGGAAAATATGCAGAACAACTTCATATGGATCTAAATGGACTAATTAAGTGTTAGATGGCTTAGCTTTAGCCAACATGCCTAGGTGCAGACTTATCAATATATAAGTCAACTAATCTCACCGCTCAACCTAAATAGTGAAGGTCTGCACCTCACATATACCAATGCCAAAATGGAAAAGCATTTTGTGATTTATCCAAAAAAAATAAAATAAAAGAAGCTTGTGCTTAAATTTGATGGCTGAACCGACTTGACTCTGAACTACGATTCATATCAAGTCTTACCGAAATCGGATTTCCTTTTCGTGCCATATGCGCTTAGACTTAACTTTTCCCCCCCTTTTCTTCCCAGTCCAATATTTGTTCTCGAAGTGGGATCATTTTCCCACGAGAGGTAATGAGAAGAATTATAGAATGGATTTCTACCTATGCCTAGATCGCAGATAAGTGGAAATTTTATTGATAAGACCTTTTCAATTGTTGCCAATATCTTATTACGAATAATTCTGACGACTTCAAGAGAAAAAGAGGCATTTACCTATTTCAGAGATGGTGCGATTTGATACTTTTTTTTTTTTTTTTACTGCTCTCAGTCTTACGAGAAAGACACATGATTCGGGATAAAAGAAAATTTTTAAATTTGCCTTTGTTAAGAAGTCTAGAACACGTTTACAGTTTAAAGTGAATGCAAAGAAAGCAAAGTTAGCATATTGGAGTTGCGATAATAGATTCCAAAGCTAGAATAATCATTTGAAGTGATTTTTTTGTCCTGCATATTGAATCATAAAAATTCAACATGTTTTGCTGATACTATGATTTCATTATCAGTCATTCGCAGTGAAGATATCTTTGTCTGGATTCTAAATATGAACATGAAGATTGGGATATCCATATATCTAGGAAATCTTATATATTCCTAATTTTATTTAATGAGCAAACAAATCATATTAATTTTACTTATATGAATTTAACTTGTCTACAAAAGAACTATTAATTTTATTTCTCTCTTTTCTTTTCTTTTTTTGTTTGGGGGGGGGGGGGGGGGATTTTCTTTTTTTTTTCCAATCTGCCTGTATGTTGGAGGTTCGGCATTCTATGTTTTAGCATTGCTGTTCTTTTTATCTTTTTCCTTATATAATTGTTGGAATTCTGTCTGACGTTTGGCAATTTCGCTTAGCTAGGAAGAATTTTCTCCTTTTGCAGTTTTCTCAGAGTGTTATATGACTGAAATTGTTCAGAACAAGTTGCATACTTGAGTTCTAAAATTTATTTCTGCTTTTTCCTGACATTAATGATGAATACAAGAAGCTAGAAGTTCTTGCATTTGAGATGGAGACAACTATTGCCTCTTTAGAAGAGGAATTAGCAACAGCAAATGAGGAAAAAGAAAAGGCCATTTCTAGAAGTGAAAGTTTGGCTTCAGACCTGCAAGCTCTATCTGACAATTTGAACATGTCAAACTCAAAAATGAATATTTTAGAGGAAGAGATTTCAGACCTTGTAAGCTTTCCCATATATTCCTTCTCATTTCGTGATTTCCAAGTTCCTAATTTCTAGTTGGACTTTTATTTGTCATATTATTATGGTAGTGTGATTTCTTGTTTCAATCCTTTTAATCTGTCATCTTATATTTCTCTCTTATTCCAGAGATCACATTTAGAAAAATCAACATCCTACAATCAAGAACTAGAAAGCTCTAAAAACATGCTGGTCGAAGAAAAGGAAGAGTTGGCTATGGTAGTTGAATAGTAAAGATGATCTATTTTTAATCCTTTGTATCTAGCTGTAATGTTGATTGTCTGATTCTATCTCATATTTTGCAGCAACTCACTGAAGCTCTTTTGGCAATGGAGGAGGAGAAGGCCATATGGTCTGCTAAGGAGAAAGCTTCCATTGAAGCCATAGAAGAGAAAGGAAGATTATATAATGCTGAGACTATGTTTTTATCAGAAGGAATATCAGAGGTAAAATTTAAAATTCAACCTCAGAATAAATGTAGAAGAATATGTCTGCATGTTTTGCAAAGTATTACTTGATTCATATGTGACTTCCCAATTGCTTCATAAGGATGTCTGACATGAACTTTCATGTCTGCTAGGTGGGGAATTTTGTTTTGCGGGAGGGGGGGGGGGGTGTGGGATCATTTTACCCAACAAAGCACGTTAATGTGAATGTTAGTAATAGAATGTCTTGTATATGGTGTGAATGGTGTTAGGTTTCTTATTCTTGGCAACCGTTTGACAAAACTCCTTTAAATTGTATTTGTTTTCGCACTTTTTATTTCAGTGAGGTTATGAATGTTTAGATGCGAATCCAACTCGAATTGTGCTTTGTAGAAGAATTTGTGATGTTAATTCTTTCAAGATTGCCACTTCGCTGTTATGACGGGGATCGAGCTGCCAGTCAGCTATGCGAGGGTCCAGGGGGCAGCGCCCCTTGACGGGTCCGGGACCAGCGCCCCCGAAAGCAAAATGCAAATTTGCATTCAGAGTTGCATGTCCGTCCTTGCTCGCTCGGCGAAGGAGTGCTCGCTCGAGCGAAGGCTAGCGTCTGTGTAAAAACCTGAAAGAGATGAATGTACGCTCCGAGCGAAGGGTGCGTGGCTGCGAGCGAAGCCACTTATGGAAAACACACGTTTTTGGTTCCTCGCTCGAGCGAGAGACTCTTTGCTCGAGCGAGCCTCGCAGTTCCAGATTTCTATAAGTATCGAGTTTCTGTCAGATTTTAGGATTACTTTCTTCAGATCTTAGGATTAACTTCTCCAGATCTTCTTCCTTGGGTTCTAAGATTTATATCTTAGGGATATTTGCTAGTTTTCTTTGATGTTTTGATTGAGTATTCAACTCATGGTTTAAAGAGTATACATCAAAGGATTGTTTTTTTTTGTTCTACACAAAAGAAAGAGTTGTTCTTCGGTGGATTCTGAAGAATTTGAGCCTGAAGCTTTGGTGGATTCTGAAGGGTCATCGTCAAGACAATTCCGAGGTGAAGACGGGTGAGACATATAGAGGTTGTTCAATTCGGGCGTGGATTCGCTAGGTAATTGAGAGTCATACTGTGTATTCCTGTTATATCTTCTTAGTGGATTGTTTTGTGGCTGTTGCCCTAGTTTTTTTATCACAATTGGAGTGGTTCAATTGTGATTTTTCCACGTAAAATGCTTGTGTCGATTTGCCTTGATTATTTGATTGGGATTGCTTGTTTACTGCTTAAAATTGATACATAATCATAAAATCAAATCTAGGGGATTAGTCTAGATTTTTCAATTTGGTATCAGAGTAGGTCAGTTCTATTTTTTAAAAAAAAAATATTCTTTTACGAACGAGATCTTGTTTGATTTGTTGAATTAAAAATTGGATTTTTTCAATAACGTTGAGGGAAATTCTTAATGAGGTTCGACTACTCCCTACTTGACGGATCTAATTATTCTTTTTGAAAAGCTCGATGAGAATCATTTTTGAAAATCAATAGATGAAAAGTTTGGCAATCTATCATGAATGGGTGGACCGAACCAACAATTACTGTTGATGGAGTAACCTTTCCCCAAACAATTGATAAGTGGGACATAAATTGATTACCAAAATAGTAGCTGAATAGTAAACTATCAAATTCTCTCTTTTGCGCTATCACACCTGAAGAGTTTAGTCGTATTTGCAATTGTGAAGTCGCAAAAAGAGGCTTGGGATATCTTACAAACTATTCATGAGGGCACTCCTTCTGTTAAACGCTCAAAACTTCAAAGGCTCACGTCTAGTTTCGAAAACCTTTCAATGAAAGATGGTGAGACCTTGATGAATTTATGCGAAGTTGAGTGAAATTGTAATTCAGCTTCAATTTAGGTGAAAAAAAATACCAGAATCCAAAGTTGTGGGAAAATTTTTTGAGATTTCTTGCCGATCGGTTCCAAACCAAAAGTTACGGCATTGAGGAGGCGCAAGATGTTTGACAACCTCAAGCTGGATCAGTTTGGTTGGGAAATCTCCAAAACTTATGAAGAACATAGAATTTCAAAAAGAAACAAAAAGATGCAATTGCTTTTAGTAGTGCTCATAGAGTCTGTAGAGGATTCTGATGAGGATTGTGAGATAGATTCCAAGTACGGCTGCTTTTGTTAAACAATTTAAAAAATCTTTTTTTGAAAAGAGAATCCTAATCTTTTAGAATCTACTCATACCCATAAATCTAAAGGCAAAGGATAAACTCAAAAATTAAATTCTATAGCCAAGAAGGAGAAAGGAAAGATACAAGGGAAACTCTGAAAGAGTCCAATGCTATGAATGTCAAGGATTTTGGTCACTTTGCTCAAGAATGCCCACTCGTTTGAGGAAGAAGAAAGCCCTCGCTATCACTTGGGATGATGAAATCAGAATCTGATAAAGATGAAAGGTGACAATGAAGATCAAGGTGAGAGGGACATAAACAATTCATTGCTTTCATGGCAGCTTCTGAAACTGAAGGACGAACCAAGTATCCGAAGAGGTCGGTGAGAATACCACTGATGAATGAATCTTCGGAAGAGTGATGATGAAGAGCTTGAGCAAGCTTATGAAAAGTTGTATAAGGAATCTCTTAAGTTATCCAAATTGAATGACAAACTCACTATGAACTCACAGCATGTGAAAGTGAGAATGTCAAACTAAAATGAGGAGATTTTCGAGGCTAGGATTGATGCCATCAAGATAGCTAATGATCGACAAGCTCTTTATGCAAAACTCTTGACTTGTGAGACAGAGAGGAATGAGTTACAGCAAATCTATGCAACATATGAAGAAAAAATTGTAACTCTCGAGATGTCTCAAGTTGCTTTGAAAGAGCTAATGATCAAGAAAAGAGGAAGAACTCAAAGTGTGCTATGGCTACCATTGGTCTTTTGGAACAAAGGATCAAAGACTTTGGACAATATGATTGGGTCTCAACAAATCTGTTCTGACAAGAGTGGCATTAGCTTTGGTGGTAAGAAAGAGCAAAAACAGAGTGCTTCAACATCTCATGATACAAGAACTCAAGGAAAGGGAGAACAAAAAATTCAACATAAGGATGGACTTCTCAAACTTCCTAGAGTTGGTAAGGTAAAAGAAAAGAAGGTACACCCTGTACACCTTGTTTTTATTTGTCATCATTGTGGTATGTATGGTCATATTCGCCCTTATTGTTATAAGTTGCATGGGAGTGTCTCATAAAGATGAAAGAAATTCTAACATCTCATGGGGTAAGAGACACTTCATTGGTTGTAATGAGGTTAAGGGTCATATTAGACCTCGTTATTTTGATTTGCTTGAGACCAATCGTGAACAGAGGTTTTGTTTGTCTAGTCCTAGGAATAGGAAGTTGGAAACCAAGTCGAGACGGGTTCTCATTGAAAGCAAAGGGAACCACAACGTCAAGACACCACCCAAGAACCGCAATGCTCACAACTTTGTTTATACTAAAGCGGTTTGGGTGAGAAAACTTGACTTGTATTAATTTGTTTTGTCGTTTTAGTTTTTGGGTTTCTGTGTGTTTTTTTTTTGTCATTACATGTGTGCTTGTTCATTTTTTTGTCTTGCTTTATTTAAAAAAAAAAAAATCCCAAAACGATTTTCTTAGTATGGTTTTGCAAGCTTGAAATTTTTGAGTAATCTTTGGTGCATATTGGAATTGATGAGAATATCCGTTACATGTTAACATATGTGTGCTTTCTGTGGTCATTACTCATTTTGGAGTGTGTGTTTTTTGATCAGTATGTCTTATTCTGTACACACTCTTGGATTAGCAAATTTTGAAGTCTTCCGCCTTAGTGATTATTTTTTCTCTTTGGACTTCTGTCATTGATCTTTTGCGTTTCTAGAGGAATTGACCTATACAAGCATATCATGGGTGATGTTGAGTCTCTTAACCACCTTCCATCTTTTTGCATCTTTACGGCTTTCCCCTCTATTCTTTGTAGTCCAGCCATAAGGAAAAGGCTACGTCAGAGTCACCAACCAGGCCATCCTTATTATATTCATGTTTTTTTGGTTCGGTTTCCATACTCTTGAGTGTGTCACCCGCCAATGAGTGTGCAAAAGAATAAGAAAAAGAAAAAGAAAAAGGAAAAAATGTGCAAAAGAAAGAAAGAAAAATGATGTGCAAAAGAAAGAAAAGAAAAAGATGTGAAAAAAAAAGAAAAAAATAAAGGATTAATTGATTGAGGGGGAGCCTCCGTCTTTCCTCACTAAATACCCTTGATTCCTAGTGGTTTGACTTTCCCTTGTTGTGCTTAGATTCTCTTGTCGGAGGTCCAACTTTCAGATCACCACTAGGATTGAATCTAGTGTTTGTCGAACTCCAAGAGTCACACACACACTTTTATCATGTGATCTATGCTTTTCACATAACGCATCACTTTCTTTCATAAGGAATCTTCTAAAGGCTGTGCACATTGTGTTTTCAAGTAATTGTGCTTCTTGGATAATCTTGTGTGTTTTAAGATACAACTCTGAAATTCCTTGCTTTCTCCACCATATTATTTTAGTCGTATTCTTTTTGTTCATTGTTTTATGTACAGTGTTTGTGGTTGCTTTGAGTGAAAGGGAGATTGACTTTAGTTGGTTTGCATGATGCTATGCACTGCTTCTTTATTATTTCCTTTTTGCATGCTCCTGATATTTACATAATCTTATCATTGCTTATGCGGTTTATGATCTTGCTTTAGTTGATTGAGCTTCCTTTGTCAATTCGTGACAAAAAGGGAGAGTAATGTTGTCCGGTGCATGTGTCTTAGGATTTCATGTATTCATGCCATATTCATGCCATGTGTCGGGTGCATGTGTCGTAGTTTTTAGGTTTTCATGCTACATGTTCTTATAATCTCCAAGTCGCATCTATTCATGTTTTCCATCTCATGCTTCAAATGCTTCAAGATAATAAATCCATATGTTTATTGCTTTTTCATATACTCTTGTGGCACTAATAGGTGTTTTGCAGATCATGACCTTGAGAAATA